TGAAGTGCAATGTGGTAGAATCAATTTTCCACTGCCCAGTTTGATGAAAGGCAGTGGTATTACAGATAATTCTAAACAATAAATAATCTACACTCGGATGTCTGTAAACTGACAATTAAAAAATCTCCAGATTCCTCTGAGGGACTGAATTACTGGGCTGAGGGCTGAGGAGCACGGTCTTAGGGGACATCTAGCAAAACTGGCATAACATAGTTTATAAAGAACATGTTCTACTACTTTGGTACATAGTGTCTGGGGTCCTAAAAGCTTGTCAGCAGCCCTCTTAGATACTCCACTAGTCCTACGCCATCTGGAGCAAAGGAGAATGAAGAAAACCAAAGACACAAGGGAAAGATTAGTCCAAGGGACTAATGGACAAGTACCACAGCCTCCACTAGACTGAGTTCAGCACAACTGGACGGTGCCCAGCTACCACCACCGACTGCTCTGACAAGGACCATAATAGAGGGTCCTGGACAGAGCTGGAGAAAAACATAGGGCAAAATTCTAACTCACAAGAAAAGACCAGACTAATTGATCTGGCAGAGACTGGAGAAACCCTGAGAGCATGGCCCCTAGATATTCTTTCAACTCAATACTGAAGTCACTTCTGAGGTTCACTCTTCAGCCAAAGCCCATAAAACAAAAAATAATACACATAGCTCAACCACATATATGAGACTAAATGGGCACACCAGCCCAGGGGCAAGGACAAGAAGGCAGGAGGGGACAGGAAAGCTGGATGAATGAAAATGGAGAACCTGAGGTCAAGAAGGGGAGACTGCCAACACGTTGTGGGGTTGGCAACCAATGTCACAAAACAGTATATGCATTAATTGTTTAATAAGAAACTAATTTGTTCTGTAACCCTTCATCTAAAGCACAAAAAAAAATTATTATATTATAGCAGTTGTTCTCAGTGTGGTCCACTGAACCCTGGGACACTTCTGATACCAAACTATTTTCCTAATAAATGTCAGACATTAGTTGCCTTTTTTTACTGTGGTGACATCTGTACTGATGATGAAAAGGAATGATGGGTAAAACTGCTGGTTCTTTAGCATGGATCAAGGCAGGGACAACAACAACAACAAAATCTCTAGATTCCACTCCTCAGTAGCTGAGTAACTTTGAACCCATAATATCCATATCTTCTCTAGCATTTTAATCTTCAATTTTCCTCCACTTTCTCCTGTTTTCATGCCACAAATAAGACCTATGTTGAAAAATTCAATCATCTTGCTGCTTCCTCTAGCTACTCCTCATTCTTCCACTGCAAAAATTATCACTGGTATTTTCATTTCCTGCTTCCTTCTTTAATCCCATCATCGGATTTCCTTTTTACCCAAAACTCTCCTGAATCTACTCTCAGACAGTACAATATTCAAACGTAACCTTTTCTCAGCCATTATTTTCAACTCTCTTTTGCCACTGAATTTTAAAGTATCTTGTTCTTACAACTCTCCTCCCTCCTTTGACTTCTATTACTTCTCCAGTTGTTCCCTCTCTGTCATCTTCTTCCTCAACCCAACATTGTCTTCAATCTGCTGCTCTTCTCCCTCCATGCTCCTTTCCATGGAGAACCACAACTAACACTTTCAATATTACATCTTGCCAAACTTCAATTTCAGATTTCTATTTCTGCTTAAAGGTCCCGCTGTCACCTCACTCCCCACATATCCAAACCCAAACTCATTTTCAACCCCTCAAATACTGCTCTTCCTCATTTTTGCTGAAGACATGCTTCACCATTCCCCTAGTCCAGATATTCTGAGTATCAGTCCCAGAGCAACATTAACTCTTTCTTTCTAATGTCTCTACAATAGACCCTTTCTTCTCCATCCTTACTGCCATCATCCTATTCTAATCCTTTATAAAGTTTTAATGGGATAAACACAAGCCTCTCTATAATCTGGATCTACCCTTTCTATTTGAAGCCTACTACTGTCCTACACAAACACAGAACTACTACATGTTTGCAGCTTATGCTCTTCTACTTCCCCTCCTTCCCCACAACCTATCAAATCCCATCAAACCTTCAAGTTATGATTCCAAAACATCTAACATAACTACTCCAATTCCATCTCTACCACACATTCTAGCACTTAAACACAAAACAGTTACCGTCTTAAACACTGCTCCAAAATGGATTACGTGTTTGTATCTTGTCTTCCCAAATAGACTATAAGTTTCCCGTGGTTAGAACTATGCCTTCTGCTTCTTTTAAATGTGGCACAGATGAAGAGACCACATTTTTTAAACCAAAAATCAGAACAAAGGATTTCTGTGTCACTTTCAGCCATGACAAGAAATTTGAGAGATGAAGTTAGACACCAAGTATGTTTTATGGATTACTGAAATGGTTTATTGAAACCACTGAACAGAATATTTTAAATTTTACAGAGGATTATCACAATTCTACATGAATACTGTTTGTGGAGTCCTATACTATACAAGGAAGTTCAGGACACCACTATTGAAAACTCTTTCCAATAATGAATAAAAACTTGCCTCTGCATAGCTTAAAACCACTGTTCCCTTTTTCATCATCTGGAATCTGCTTTTTCTTCTATATTATTGTCTTCAGATATTTGAAGACAGACAGTTCTCTTACAATTCCTAAAACTTATCCTTCCCTTTACGGTGTTGGCAAAGAATACTGAATATACCATGGGCTGCCAGAAGAACAAACAGTCAGAAGTACAGTCAGAACACTCCTTAGAAGCAAGGATGGCGAGACTTCATCTTACATATTTTGGACATGTTATCAGGTAGGACCAGTCCCTGGAGAAGGACATCATGCTTGGTAAAGTAGAATGTCAGCAAAAAAGAGAAGGACCTTCAACAAGATGGACTGACACAGTGGCTGCAAAAATGGGCTCAAACACAGCAACAATTGCGAGGATGGTGAAGGACCAGGCAGTGTTTCATTCTGTTAGACACGGGGTCACTATGAGTCAGAACCGACACAGCAGCATCTAACAACATCCTTTCCAAGCTAAATGTGCCTATCATATCAAGGCTGTTGAAAATTGTAGAGGTGCATCAGTTTGTCAATGTCCTAGTAAAATGTGGCACCCCAAAGTGGACATACTATTCCAAAGGGGTCATGAACAGCACAGTATACTGTCAAGATTATTACTAACTCCCTTGTCTTGGGCATTATAACTCTATTACTTCATCTAACAATTAAGGAGATGGGGCGAGGGGCACAGCAGTCTCATTAAGCTAGGAATTAACTAAATCCCTTAGATTAGATCTCCCATATCCTGTATTTGAGCAATTTGGGTTCTTCCCCTTTTAAATTAAGTACAGGACTTCACATTTATCCCTACTAAATTTCATAAGGCAAGTTTGAGTCCACTTGCTGAAATTTTTTTGAAAACTTGGCTCTATTATCCTACACTTCATACGTACATCTCTCCCAACTCAGAGAAACAAGTTGTTGGACTGATTCCTACCCCTCACCATTTTATTTAAACTATCACAAAAGAAATGCAATTTTTTCCAGTCAAAACATCTAAATTGCAGAGTCACCTTTATTGTTCCTGATCCAGTATACTCTGCCCTTGATATTAAAAAAAAAAAAAAAAGAATTTGAAAAGAAGAGTGGGGAAAATAAAGAAAAATCTTCATTTCTTCCTTTCTTACATCTAAATAATATGAGTACTCAAAAAGACTGAGGCTTAAGCACTTGCCTCCGTAAATGGAAAACGATCATCAAAAGAAGAAGTAATTTCAAATTAATAATAAATATTTATCCAATTTATAGAAGTACATATTGCTTTTCAGCCCTTTGTCTAAAATTGAGTGTAGTATCTACTGTTCTTGTCAATTCATTTAAGTACCTGCTATGTGCGGGACAATGTACTGTCTTGTTTTGTTTTATATTCATGTGATCAAAGGTCAAGTCTATATAATTAGCAAAATGGCACAAGCTGTTTATTTACTCTGACTTTTCTATTCTCCTAAGAAATTATCTGAGAGGAGAATAACGTTGAAATCATCATAAAAAAACAAACCTGCTGCTCCTGTGTACACCTCCAGAGAAAATATAGGGGCCCCACAACCAATACAATCCAGGTACGGTGAATGAGGAGAGAAACTACAGAGCCACGTGCTATGCCAAGTGCTGCTACAAGAGACCACTTCTCCCCCCAACAGAGCTTCCATATTTGACGATGCGCTTCAGACAACTAAAGCACTACTTTATCCGTTTGCAAACACAGTAAAGTCATAAACATGAAATTCTGCAGTATGAACACACACAATGTTGTCATCGACACAGCACATCAACAGTGGAAAAGGCACTTACTGAGAACCTCCCAGAAGAACAAAATAAGAAAAAGTAGGCTTAAAATTCAGCAAAAAGGAAAAAAAGTTAATAAGTTAGTCAAAGTGAAGGCGTAAGAGAATCTGGTATCTTTTCTAAAGCGTCCATACGTTCTGCTAAGCTACTGAAATGGCTATATCGCCTGCAGAAAAAGTTCAAACACCTTAACGTGACAAATAAAGCCCTCCACAACCTACGTACAATCTACCACCTGGAAGACACCTCCCACCACTTCTTCCAAGCACCTGAGGTCACTATTCCCTTCTGCCTCTGTGGAACCATCATTCTTCAAGTCTTCTGCTCCCTCAGCTTCTCCCAATGCCTCAGGCAGCAGTCTCTCCCTTTGGAAACTGCCCCTCTTCCATACACCTGATTTCAAACACTGTACAAATCACAAAAGGACAAGAGTTCATCCCGCCAGGGACACGTATTTTAAAGGATGAAAGAAAAGGATACAGAAGAGGATGCAGGGAATGGGAAAGGAAAGAGAGAAGAAAGTCTCCACCATCCATAAAGTTCACTGCTGACCCTTAAGAGCACTGCAGTGCCAATTCCGTACCAAATTAGTCCCTCTCAGCAACGCTGTTCTGTAAAGACACTGCGGACAAGGCAATAGCAAAGTGGTTTTTACAAGGAAAATGTAGCCTAAAATCCTTTCGTATCTTACCTCCTTCTTCCTTGACTTCTTCACTAGGCTCTCCTGAAAAAGTCTCCTTTGTGAAGGGATGATCACCTCTTTCTTCTTGGATAACAGGCCCTGGCCTGAGTGCAATTTTCTTCCCTTTTCTTGAGCCAGTGGCCTGGAGTTTTCCTTTAGCGATGTGTATATTAAGAGGCTGGGAAGGCTCCAAGGAAGATAGAGTGATTCCCTGAGAGAAGGACTCATCCACAGCTTCCAGAATTGATAGATTTGTGTCCTGGGTGGGCACCCTAGAGCTGGAAGATGGCTCCTCCACACCAAGCTGATTTCCTGCATCCTGCATAGACTGTACTTCGAGGCCAGCTCCTCTGTCATGGCTTGGAGCCCAGGACAGTGACGCTGTCTGTCCCAAGTCTTTAACCTGGTCAGATTCTGGTTTAACAGCAGACTCTAGGTCCAAGTCATCTTCCTCCTGGCTGCCCTTATGCTGTGGGGACTCTGTCACTGTAGTTCTTCTCTTCTTACAGGGCAACATTTTAAAAGTCCCACTTTTGTTCCATCCTGGAAGGCGAAAAGCAAGTTCTTAGCATCTTCATATTAGAGATCATAACATTTCCTCAAATATCTTTTCACTTACTCATGTTCAGTCATGAACACAGTACTTCAAACCAAATGCACAACCTCCCTTCAGTTGGGAGATGAGAGATAGTGGTCAGAGCGTCTGAGTTCAAATCCCAATTCTACTATTGATTGATTAGTTATGTTACTTTGGACAAGTGACTTAACCTAAGCTTCAGTTTCCTCAACTGTAAAACATAATCACTGTAGAACTGTAATAAGAATTAAATAGAAAATGCATAACAAGTGTTAGTTATTACCATTGGTAAGGTAAAATAGCATGATGCTGACAGCAAACTATATGGATTTATCTCCCAAGTCAGCTTCCCTCCAGCTTTGTGACCTTGCATAAGTTGCTTAACCTGAATCTCAGTTTCAAGGCTATGAAGTGAAACAAAAATAGCACCTACATCATTAGATAATAAGTGATCAATACATTTTGCTATTGCTGTTTTCATAACCAAGTATTTCCATTAATAGAAACGATCAAAAAACCAAGTGTGGTTGTTTAAAGAAGGTTAAGCTATATTAACAGAAATTCTGTGCTGAAAACAAAGGAGTAATGTAACTGATATCACTAAATTGTACATCTGAAAAATGGTGAATTAGCAAATGCTGCATTATATACATGCACATATAGATATATATATTCACAATAAAAAAAAAAAGGCGATTCCCACTGTCCTCTGTACTATATTACTTCTAGACTCTAGGCTTCAGTTCTAATTATCACATTTTAAGGGCAACACTGACTTAAACTGGAAGGATTTTTCCAGTATCTTTGTTTGTAAACCTCTTTTATAGCACTTATCATTTTTGTAATTACTCCTCTACTTGTCTATCTCCTTCCCAGCTCCCTTCCCCAAAATTATGAGCTTTTTGAGGAAAAGGACTCTTTTACCTCATATCCCTAACACCTAGCAGTATATGGCCCATTGTTGATACTCAGTGAAGGCTGCCTGAATGAATGCTTGAGCTTATTATTCTGTGCTTCTCCAGAGTACAGCACTTGGACCAAAGGATTAAGCATTATATGAAAACTGACTTCATCTTTCTACCAAGAAAAACTTTATTCTCGATAAAATAGATCCAAGAACAGAATACACTGCCTTTTGTTACAGTGAGTTCCCCTTCACTGGCAATGTTTCAGAGAAGTCTGAATGCCCACCTATCAGGGCACTAGGTCAAAGCTTGAACTAAACAGCAATCAAAAAAAAACCCATTACCAAGCTGAACCCAATTTCGACTCACAGCGATCTTATAGGACAGGGCAGAACTGCCCTATAGGGTTTCTAAGGCTGTAAATCTTTATGTAAGCAGATTGCCACATCTTTCTCCCGCAGAGCAGCTGGTGGGTTTGAACCACCAGCCCTCTGGTTAGCAGCCGACTGCTTAACCACTGCGCCACCAGGGCTCTTTTAAGCTTGGACTAGAGGACTGAAAAACCAAGTTCCTTCTAACACTAAGAGTCTAAACTATAAAGTTAGTTTTAATATCTCCCTAATTCAGCTTCTCCAGGACACTGCGGGAGATAAGCCCAAAATCAACTGATTTTCGTATCTTAGGAATTAGCGTTTAACAAACGTGACGATTCCGTTGATCCCTGTGAGGGACGATGGTGAGTGGGTAAGAAGTAGAGTGAGAGCAGCCAAGGCGAATCCTTTATTTCACAGATGAATCATGTGAGGTCCAGAAAAGAAAAAAAAGCAGCTACTATTCAAAGTCAGCAGCGTGCAAGGCTCTGGTCCAGGCATCTTAAACACGGCGGTAGCTCGAAAAAGGTGCCTTCTTTGGGAAACAGAGTCGGACCAACTGGGTGAATGAATGTCAATCCGGGGAGAGCCGGGGCGCCGCCCCCTCCTGGGAAAACCTCTCAGAAAGGGCTCCCAACTGCGCTTTCCACCTCGCGCCGAGCCCTGGCCCAAGTCTCCACTGCCAGCTAGAGACCTTCACACCCCTACCTTCCAGCACGCACCCCGCGCCCGCCCTCAGACCCGACCCCCTTATCCTGGACGTCCTTTGCCTCGCGTATTCCCCGCTTCCACCTGCTTCTTCCCGCCCCATCACACACAACCCAGCACCCTCACCGGCCGGCCTGATCCCGCGGAAACTCGGCTTCAGCACCACCGGAAGTCAGCCAACGGCAGCGACCGACGTGCGCGCCCCCGAGTCGCGGCGCGCGGCGTCTCGAGGCGCCCAGGAGCATGCGCCAAACGCTAGGGGCCATCTTATTTTAGGGCCGACTGAAGCCACATCGGTAGTACGTTAGTTGTGGGCAAAAAATTTTTAAAGCACTACTTGTCTCGCTTGGCCTGTTGAGATACACTACTCAAAACAAAACTAAGGGTTGAGATTCAGTGGTTTAGTTTGACAACTAATCGTTCTCGCCATGAGACACCTGGAATACAGGATCAAATAAATGAAGAATTTGTAAAAAATTCCGGAAGAACAATCTCGGAGTTACAAACAGTGCAGTTTCAATCCCATCTACCAGAAGAACTAAACGGTGCACGGCTATCACCACTGATCGTTCTGTCCGGGGGTCAGAATAGTTGGTCCCGGATAGAATGGGAGAGAAATACGGAGCAGAACTCGAATTCTTATTTTAAAAAAAAGACGCCAGACAAACTGGAACAGTAGAGAACAGAGGACTCCCTGAGGCTATTGCCCTGAGACACTCTTAAACCTAGAACCCAGACTATCCCCTGAAATCACCTTTTAGCAAAATAGCGGAGTGGCACGCAAATAGAAGGTATTAGCGGTAAGATCGGCGCCCTACTTAAAAACCGTCAGTATGAGACCAAAAGGTCAACAATTACTCAAAAGCAAAGATGAGAAGATAAGGGGGCAGGAAAACTAGAGTACTGGAAAGGGAACAAATAAACACAAACAGAATGCTGACACATTGTGATGAATATAACTAATGTCACTGAACAATTTGTGTGGAAATTGTCAAATGGGAACCTAACTTGCTGTGTCAACTTTCACCAAAAAACTCAATATTATTAAAAGAAAAAAATAGTGCAGTTTCCTGAATAAAGCTCAGGAAGGCTTGGACTCGGTCCATAAAAATTAGTGCAGTGGTGTCACTAGAGTTGGTGTCACTCAGTGTGGTAACTCATGTTGTCACTCCCTGTGGACTTCCTCCCGTACCAGACTCTACAGGATCCTTAGTAATGTTCTTTGTACTAATGTTACGAGTAAACTGTAATTTCCATTTATCACCCCTTCTTTTCCTTTAATTACTACTTCATTCTCAAAAAACTTATTGATAGAGGTTCACAACTACTCATCACCAGAGTATTGTAACTAAAACACCAGAAAATTTGACAAAAACACCAGCAGCTACAAAAATAACAGTGAGTGCTTACAGCATGTGCAGACAAAACCACGTGATTCAAAGAGTCATTGTAATTGGGTAATAATGACAGCTCTCACCGGAGAACATTAGAAGTTTCAAAAAGTAAATTAGCATAGAGTTTTAGCCTTGTAGTTCTATTGATACATGTAAGCTGGGCTTATGAAAAATGTTTTTGTTGTTATAAGTAACTACAGGGATATTTTTACAGTCATTTTGGTGTCACCCCCGACAGTGTCACCTGGTGAGGTCTGCACCCCCAGTGATGGCACTGCTGTATAGTACTCTGCATTATACAAAATGCTTTCACTTACATTATCATAGTTGATTTGGTGTTGACAACAAACCCTGTGGAACAATGGACATTATTATATCATCTTCCAGTTCATACAGGACAAATATCTGGCTCAGCTTTGTGGATGATTTCACAAAGCTACGCAGCTATCTTGGGGAATCAGGAATCAGGTATCCTAACTCAAGCTCCCAGTGCATTGACCCAGTACTCAGGAAGGTGCCTGGGGTGTAACTGGTTTTCAATAATTCAATACATGTTTTTTGAATGAATGAATGACTCCTAAAACCATGTTCTTTCCATTTTGCTAGAAGCACAGAATGTTAAAGTTGGAAGAATACATTCAACTCCCTCACTTTACCGGTGAAGCACCAACAACTATAAACACTTGAAAAGTCAATTTGAACTATTCCTGTCTAGAAACAGAACCTGACAGGATGAAAGTATCCATAGCCAAAATGAAAGGTGGAATTGATATAACCATTGAGATAACCACCAGTCGTCTGTTTTTAACCTCCCAAATGTCGAGGAAGTCTCCAGGAGTTTCATTTGTGTCCTGCTTCTGAATTTGCAGAATACACAGATCTGTTTGCTCTCTCGCACTCTTTCTTAGCAGCCCGAAGCACTTAAGGCTCATGGGAAAGAAATACCCAACACTGATTAACTTTGGCACTCTTCTTTATTCTTTGTTAAAAACTAGTCTAATTTACACACCAGAAAATTCCTGCATTTTAAGTGTACAATTAAATGACTTAGCAAATTATCAGAGTTGTGCAATCAACACCCGGTTTAGTTTTATTTTTTCCCAATGAAAACTAGGTTTAGTATTAAATCAGAGCTTCTGGAGTTTAATAAAATTTCCATAAAAACCTTTAGTGGTCTCACAAATACGTAACAACAATGGGCAATTGATAATGAAATCCAGGCAGTACAGAATTTTATTTTCAAAATCCTAGGCTTTCTCTCACCCAGAACATTCTGCTGCTATATTAAGCCCAAGGAACTGGAATCACGAGATCTATAGCGTCTCACATGATAAGTGTAAACACACTCGTTCCGGCCTCCAGAATTTTGCCTTCTTGCTCCTCAGCCCGTCAATGGGCGGGCCCTCTTTCTCAGGAAATCTCGGTGGTGCGAGGGACGCCCACCCGGAGATCTTCCGGAAAGGGGCGGGGCCAGCCTTCCGGAACTATTCGGACAGAGGTGGAGTCTTCTGCCGAAGGCTGTTCGGAAGAAGGCGGAGCCTACCTCGCATCAGGACCAGTCTGGCTGCACCTGCATCCTCTGCTCAGAGCATCCCTGGAGCATCTTAAGAGACGATCGCAGCTGGCAACCAGGGACCGGACCGTCGCAGAAGGTGTCCGCCGGACACCTTCCCCCTCCCCTGACCTAGCCCTGTACAGCGGCAGCCCCTGAACTGGCCGGGGGATCCCAGAGTTGCCTGCCCACTGCAAAGCATTTATAGCAACAGCTTCTCACTACGACATGGCTGAGATCACCAATATCCGACCTAGCTTTGGTAAGTAGAGTCGGGCAAACTAATCTTGGGGTGGTCGGAATCGCTGCAAAGCCAATGGGGCCCAGTCAGTGCCTGGGCAGGGAGTCAAGGCCAGACTAGGGCCTGAAAGTGCCAGCCGCGCTAGAATCCGGCCTGTGGTGGTGGGTAGGGGGCAGTGGACAGCGCCTAGACTTGAGCTATGGGCTGCAGGGGCTGGTAAGGCCAGAGCTACACCAGGGGAGGGGGGAAGTCCAGGATGTTAAAAGCTTGTATGGTGCACTGTCGGAGGTGAGAAACAGCGAGCGTGCTGAGGACGTGAACCCCTCCTTCTGGGGGAGGAGATGTGGGGTAGGCCGAGCCCTCCCCCTTGGGGCACGCAGGGCGGTGCCCCATCCTCCCCCTCCTTCTTCAGGGCTGCGGGGGAGGGAGGTGGCAAGGGGGATGGGGCATCAAGATGGCAGCTTGGAGACTGTGGGATGTGTGGCTGGCAGCCAGGGGAGGCGACGGCCTTTGGGGAACGCGGGGCGCGGGG